AGGAATTATTTCGTTACTTTTTAGTGTACTTTTTTTTTGAGAATATTTTGTTTTTGGTGTATTTTGTTTTGTTTTTAGTGCATTTTGTTTGTTTTTCGTGTATTTTGTTTGGAAGTCGGTTTTGTTTTTTTATTAAAAAGTTTATTATACCAGATATAGTTACGGTTTCCGCGGGATACAATGATATTGCTTTTTATATTTACTCGATAATTCTGCAATGGTTTAACATATCCTATTGAAATTTGGCGCAGATATAAAACAAAGTCTGAAGTAACACATGTGGTACAGTTTATCCCCAAAACATTCCAGGTTCCCGAGGGATATGTGTTTTTTGGTTATTTACATGTTTACTCAAGAAGTCCGCAGCGGCTTAACGCAAGTTGTTAAGATTTGGCAAGGATATAGAACATAGAATGGTGTAACACGTGGAATACAGTTCATCCCAAAAAAAGTCAGGTTCCCGTGGGATACACTGATTTTGTTTTTTTTTTATATTTACTCAATAAATCCGCAGCGGCTAGACGCAGCTTATTGAAATGTATCTTGGATATAGAACATAGTATGCTACAACACGTGGAATACTTTTCATTCACGGTAAATCTCAGGTATTATTTGAAATATTGAAAGTTATGGATGCGCAGTTTTTTGTTTCTATTTTTCATCCTAATATTGCGCGGACGAAGTTGCGGGCAACAGCTAGTTAACAGATAAATTAATACCTATACCTATTGGGAACATTCTGTAAGAAATTTATGATATATCATTATTCATTGTATTTAGTAGGGCGAGCATAATTTTGTAGCACAACATTTTCATCTAGGCGATATTTGCAATAATAATATTGTATTTGTCTATACATTGTTGACTGATCAAAACTAAACGGGGAATACCCTTAAAATAAAATCAAATGAACTGACTGTTACCCGCGATTTCGTCCGCGTGGAAGTAGAATTTATAATATTCGAATCAGAAACTTGACGTAATACATAGAATAGTGTGCTTTGCTTTACAAGAACCTTCGTCCCGTATTTTAATATCCCCTGAGGATGTTATAGGCAAACACCTGTGGTTCCTCCTAACCTATTGAAAATATCTACGTAATGTTATAAATATATGCAAAATCTAGTACCTAAAGACCATAGCTTTGACTGTCGTTGATAGTACGGTCGTTGGATCAGTGAGCATTGAAATAGCGGTCGCTTGTGACTTTATTAGTAATCATAACTAAAAACTTAGCCCATAACATTCATTATCTAGAACAAACGCTGCAAGTATAGATACAAACAAAAATAAAAAAAAAAATTTTTGGTCTTCAGTTTTTTTTTTCGATATTACATACAGACACACTCATTTCATTAACTGTATAGTTGGAAGATTGTAATTAACCCATATATCAAATTTTGATGTGTTAACAACTTTGTTGTACTGGCAGTTGATATTGTTTCGCAATGAACCTACTTAAAATAGACATGATGGAAAATTCCACGAGAGACATTTGAGTGTAGTTTTTTACGACTAACAGTTAGAACATTATAAGAATATTAGAGTATCAGCTTTCGCCCGCGACTCCGTCCGCGTCTAATTAAAAAAAAAACTGAAGAAAGTAACCTAAGTGTTCTTCCAGACTATCCTCCAATTTCATCGAGATCCGTTCAGTCGTTTAGTCTACAAAGTCTAACAAGCATTAATCCATCTGTCTAAACATTCGCATTTATAATATTAGTAATATTGAGACCAGAAATGTACACCACTTAGGCGTCATCAGCTGATGATCAAGGCTTGGATTAGGGAAGACAACCACTAATTCAGATACCATTATTACGATCATATTCGTGGAAGATTTTAAATGTACTTTATTATGCCCACATGGCAACGGCTATTATACGTTAGTTATTAACCTTTGAGATAACACGCGAACGCGAAGTTAAGATAAAAGTATCACTACAAGCATTGGACAATATCATGATCATCTTCATTAGCTTGCTCCCGTAGGGTCGGCACAACAGGTTTTTGTCCTCCAAATAACTCTATCATACGTCATCTTAGTCATCACTCCCTTTTTGATCATGTCACCTTTCACGCAATCCATCCAAGGACACTACAAGCATTAGACAATTCTTTGATTCTTAAT